ACATATTTGATGCAAACGAATACAATAGTTGACTGGATTGCAGGTAGGCTAAGCAGAAACTGCCCGAAAATTGAGGGAATGCCATGGACAAGCTCATTATACAACAATCCAATTCCAGGGACTCTTACAGTCCCTAAGGTGGATCCTAGGTCATGCATGAAGTCCAAGGATATCTTCTCTCTGACCTCACTCTTGTACTTGAGCACACTTCCGTAATTCCAAATGTACATGATACAGAGGAAGAAACTAGCAAAAACAAGTGGAAGCCAACCACCCTCCATGATTTTTGATAAAACTGCAGACAAGTACATGAGCTCGATTGACCCAAAAACAACTGGGAAACACAAGGCCAGAAATAAGTTTGTCTGCCATATGAGAAGCATTACAAGTGTTACCAAGGTGGTGGTCACAATCATCACACCAACTTCCGCTATCCCTGTAAACAAAACAAATTACATTAGAAATGCTAATAGTTTTACACGAGAACTGTTAGCTCCCTGATTCCTTATTGAAACCATTGTGGTTCCTGATCACTTACAGAAAAAATAAGCACAATCGAGAGATAAAAGTAAACACAGAAATATCATTACAGGAAGCTGTAAGTCCTTAATGTGATGTATGTTTACCCCTGAAAATTCTTAATGTGATGTAAGACTCCTGAAAGGAATATATGTTATGAATGCACCTAAAAGAACACTTAATAGGAAGAATCAGAATAGGAGGTAGCAGTTACTAACCATATGCATTGGCAATACTTGTTGTACTCTGGAAGACGGAAACAACAACTATGCACATTGTCATCAAAAACCAATTGATCACAGGAATGTATATTTGACCCATCATCCTTTTTGAGGTGTGAATTATCTTCATTCTTGGGAAGCACCCAAGAGCCATAGATTGCTTGACGCATGAAAATGTCGCAGATATCATTGCTTGGCTTGCAATCATAGCAGCAAGTGTGGCTACCACAAAGACTGGCCAGAAGAGACTATCTGCTTGTTCACAATATTCAGGAATTAAAGATGTCAAGTGACAAACTTAATTATCATTTAAAAACATATCAGAGTGAGACTGACAAATGCAAGCAACACTAATGTTTATCACCTGGCACAGAATTATAGAATATTCTAGCCGCAGATTCAGGGTATTTCATTAGATATGCTGCCTGGCCCAAGTAAGCCAGGAGAAGACAGGGAAACACAAAACAAGTAAAAGCAATCTGCAAAGCAGTTTAGATTGGTTACTACGGATTTTTTACGAAGTTATTGGTCAACTTCAGGGAAGAAATGAGGAAGGAGATGTACAAAGAAACCTGTATGGCTCGAACAGAGAAATGCCCTAAATCAGCAAACATTGCTTCAGCTCCTGCAGTGACATACAAAGGTTTCATTAAATAAACTATTTGTATTTAGTAATAACCTCAATAATGGAAGAAGTATGAAAAGCCATTTCTTATTTTAAGCAAGCTTGGGCATGATGGATTTGGTTTATGAGAATGATTGATATGCCAGAAAAATTTTACAAACTGTAAGAAATCCTTTGACCAATAGGTAACACTATGTTTCCGACCCAGTATAGTGAATGAGTTTTTTGAGGCTTGTTTAGCAGTTAATATGGTCACTGCTAAGGCTAATTAAGAAACAAGGAGACCAATGTTCAAAATTTATGCTAAATTAAGAGAATGAGTTGAGATCTGCATGGGCAAGTAAAGATGTAATACCATTTGGATTAATTCATGGTTTAAATGTAAGATGTACCTGTAATGCACAGTACACAACCACCAAGAGCTGACCATGCCTCTGTCCCATTCTTCTTGAAAAATAAATATATATAAGCTGGATTTAATGCCCTTATGACGGTGATATCATACTTAATTAAATTGTACAATCCAATAGAACCCAGAGAGAAGAACCACAAAGCAAGTATAGGAGCAAACATGAAACCCACTTTACCAGTCCCAAACTGCTGTATGCTAAACAAAACTATAAGGACTGTGATTGCTGTGACAACAACAGCAGCTGCAATAGAAAATAAAACTTAAAGGTCATTCTTTATTTACAAAATTATATAACTGGTCTCACTTGCATCTCCATAAGCAAACTAGAGAAAAAGAAAAACAATCAGCAGCTAATTGACCCAAAAGTGAATTATTTTGGTCAGTTGAAAGTTTCAAGTTTCGTGAGTTACCTGCCTTCACCAATCACACCTAACCCAATTCCTTATACACACTCCTATCCCATGGATATTACCCACATGATTATTGAGATAGTATTCGGGCCAGGGGGGGAGGGGGGGGCGTGGAAAGAGGAGCCCTTCCTAAACAAGTTGTATCAGAATATTGAGACAGTGTCAAAAGAAAGAAACTAAAGGTTCATACAACACCAACTCCACTTGAGCTGTTGTAGAAACTGTCTCTTTGGTTATTTTTTATTGACTGTAGTTCATCAGTTATTTCCTACAACATATCCACAAGAAAACAAAGAGCAATGGTTCTCTAAGTGAGTCAGAAGAAAGAAGTGAAATACCCACTTGTACCAAATCCCTCCACTTGACCTTGCAGACCACTCACAGCAGACATAACTGCAACAACAAAAAAAGAAGAATCATAATAAGTATGCAAATTCTTTTCTAAGCCATTCAACGGCAAATTCATTCCAGAAACATTACAAAGATGATACTGCAGATTGTGTCAGCATTTTCATTATAAACATCAGTGAACTGACAAACTGAGTCAAATAAAGAAGGCAGCACATTCTGTTTAGTAAAGATAAAAGACTTCTTTCAAAGCTAATGGGTACTTCTTCAGCTTTATAAAAAGTCCTCTTTTGCTTGAAAGACTCTAATCTTAAAATGTTTTGGTTACAGGCATTCCATTTGCAAATAGATATGCTACTATATGTTAATTGATGGACATGATTGCACTTTTACCAAAAAGAAGTGACTGGCATGATTATGACAAGACGTACATTATACACACACACACACACACATATATATACATATATGCTTATCTCTACATTATCATTACTCTTCTAGGAAATCTGTGAATGTGGATTAGTGCACAACCTAAGAGAGTCCAAAATATGGCTGATGAACTTATAATGTTCATTGAGGCGGAGGCTCATGCAAACAAGAGCACTAGTATACAAAGATAGAGAAAGTAAGTATTGTGAATAGCACAAAGGAGTAAATAATTAGGCCTCACTCAATCATCATCCGGCTTAATAAGCATGTGGAAATGTGAAGTTATTACATTCCAACAGAGAACTTTTGTACCTTGAATCTAATATTCCTTTCCAGGAGATAGGGAAAGAGATGTCGAAGGGAATAGATATGACCGCCAATATCTATTAACGGAAGAACTTCAAATTTGGTACTATAGTGCATATTCAATATATCACAAGAGTTAGATTGCACACTTTGATTCATTAATGTAAGTCAGTACAGAACATTAATTAATATAATCAGAATGATCAAGTTCAGCTAGAGCTTCAGCTTCAGCAAAAGAATATTAGTTTTACATGCTCATCATTCTAAACTGTATCTCAAGCATAATTAATTCTTACAAGATCCACAGGAAAATAATAAATATCTTATTCTTCAGCATTTAGGTCAGAAGCACATGTTTAAATTCCACAATAACCACAGCCTCAATTATCTAAGACGAGAACTAATTTTTAGAGCCATCTACACCTTGTCAATAACCTGTTATGAAACAGTTCCCTAGCTTGTGAAATCACAAAAAAGAAGGCAAATGCGCATCATGAAAACTATAAATGCATTCCCTATTTGGCATGTCTTATGCTCAATTTACCTAGAGAATACAACCAATCAGCAAACACCAATTTAGACAGAGTCATAACTCTTTTTCTGCTAGATAACAGAGACATAAGTTAACTGCTAAGAATCTAAGCATTAGTATTTGATCAAAGAATAAATTTTTAAATACTTCAAATTTTGTATTTAGGAAAAATTAGTCATTTTAGAGTAATGTTGCATATGATTTAAGCTCCACAAAACAGATGTGAAGAGCTTCTAAATGCTACTATGTGCCACAAGTTATAGACGTTTATCTTATCAACAATGTTAGAGATCTTTATGTGCAACCTTTAGGTTTAAGTAACTGTTGATAAGGAAGGTGTTAGTTGTATCATTTAGATAAGGAAGGTGTTAGTTTGAGCTTCTTACTTAACCAGGTAAAGAAAGTTAATGGTAAGAGTGTCAAACTATTATAATCCAGTGGACCCACAAAAAAAAAAAAAAAATCTACTCCATCATTTTTATGCATTACCAGAAAAGAAAATTATTCTGTTTTCTAAAGAGAGTATTCTAAGTCTACGCCTCAACTTGGTCATATTGTAAACCTATGACATTGGTAACAACCTCATTCAGCAAAATCTCTTTAGAGGAAGCCAGAAATGTCTTTTAACTTTACGTTGTGAAAAATGTTTAATTATGATTCTATTACTTATTGAACTTTAAATTTATTCCTTATAGATTAGAGCACATTAACCATAGATTGAATTGCCATTATGTGAGTCTCTTGGAAAGAATATGTAGTTAAAAGCACCAAGCATACATCGTTGAACTTCATCTTTGCTGTGAATATTTTACGATTAGTTAAAACCTGCAT